GATCCCCTGCTGAAGCCAGGACCAATGATTCTCCAACACAATGGGTCATTTATCAAGCATTAAGACAAGCTAGTGAAGAACTTGTCATCAACAGTTCATAGGGAAGCTACATCAAAGCAAGCTCATTAGCATCATAACTGCCTATCATTTCAAAGCCCAGTTTATTAAACTCGCGTGAATACCATGCTTTAAAACAGTACATTTAACATTAACATTTTTCTATCCAAACTGGATTTAAATGGTCAAAAGATCACTTTGGCACAATGTAGATAAACCAAAAAGAGAAGCAATGTGGGTGTGGCACAAGAAACTGCTTGAAACCAATAAACACACCATTTCTAAGTCTGGACAGAGCTTCTGCTTTAATTGGAAAAGGTCTTACTGTAAGTGAATTCAGCGGACATCTTTCAATATCGTTACAATTATAAGGTTTATAAGATTCTTATATGTAGGGATTGTATTTTTAAATTTAGAGTAAATGAAGAGCATCAAGAAAACTGGCCCACATAAGTGCTTTTATTGTTAAAGATCAAAGGGAAGCTTGGATTGCTTTACTCAGAAGAAGGTGCACGATATTTATGCTTTGAGACAGAAATACTCATTCCTGAGTATGCCATGAGTAGACTATAAAACTCCCAAAGTCATAGTGAGTGTCCTCAGTATCAGGCTACAAACAGTTGTGCTATAAATTATTCATTGACTTCCGAGATGAAAAGGAGATGGCATTGAAGATAGTTAATTAGCATTTCTACACAGATCTTGGATTAATTTCTTTCATTTGCCATGAGGAAGGGAGCAGAGGAAGCTATTTTGTGATTAGGTTACAGGTTTCCCTACAAATCCATGAATATCACTGAAAAATGGCAGCTTTCTTTTGGGTGTGGTCTTCAGCCATCTGGGAAGCAGAGTACATGTGGCAGATGCAGCACTCCTGCACTGAACCAAAGAAAATGCTGATCTGATTGTTCACAATGTAGCACTTGTCAAAGAGTTTGCACTCACACTGAGGTAACTGAGTTGACGAGGCTCCATTTTTAAAAATGGATTTAGCTTGGCTGGGTTGGAAGACTCTACAGTGAAAGCTCTCACAGCGTAAGTCAGTTCTGGAGTCAGAGATTACTCAGTTGGGAAAGTAAAGAAGAAACAATCAATTTTTGCACAGAATCATTTTGGATTCGTACCTGGAGGAGGAACTGTTCACTTAAGGGATGGTGTAAGATATAAACACAGCAGGAGATTTTTGGATCTAGTAGGAACTGCCAATGCTGGAGAATCTGAGATAACAAGGTGTAGAGCTGGATGAACACAGCAGGCCAAACAGCATCAGAGGAGCTTTTCTGAAGAAGGGTCCAGACCCGAAACAACGAGGTGCAGGGCTGGATGAACACAGCAGGCCAAGCAGCATCATAGGAGCAGAGAGGCTGACATTTCGGGCCTAGACCCTTCATCAGAAAAGGGGGAGGGGAAGGGGGTTCTGAAATAAATAGGGAGAGAGGGGGAGGCGGATAGAAGATGGATAGAGGAGAGGATAGGTGGAGAGGAAACAAACAGGTCGAAGAGGCGGGGATGGGGCCAGTAAAGGTGAGTGTAGGTGGGGAGTTAGGAAGGGGATAGGTCAGTCCAGGGAGGACGGACAGGTCAAGGGGGCGGGATGAGGTTGGTTGGTAGGAGATGGAGGTGCGGCTTGAGGTGGGAGGAGGGGATAGGTGGGAGGAAGAACAGGTTAGGAAGGCAGGGACGAGCTGGACTGGTTTTGGGATGCGGTAGGGGGAGGGGAGATTTTGAAACTTGTGAAATCCACATTGATACCATTGGGCTGCAGGGTTCCCAAGCGGAATATGAGTTGCTGTTCCTGCAACCTTCGGGTGGCATCGTTGTGGCACTGCAGGAGGCCCAGGATGGACATGTCATCTGAGGAATGGGAGGGGGAGTTGAAATGGTTCGCGACTGGGAGGTGCAGTTGTTTATTGCGAACCGAGCGTAGGTGTTCTGCAAAGCAGTCCCCGAGCCTCCGCTTGGTTTCCCCGATGTAGAGGATGCCACACCGGGTACAGCGGATGCAGTATACCACATTAGCAGATGTGCAGGTGAACATCTGCTTGAGGTGGAAAGTCTTCTTGGGGCCTGGGATGGGGGTGAGGGAGGAAGTATGGGGGCAGGTGTAGCACTTCCTGCGGTTGCAGGGAAAAGTGCCGGGTGTGGTGGAGCTGGAGGGGAGGGTGGAGCGGACAAGGGAGTCACGGAGAGAGTGGTCCCTCCGGAAAGCAGATAAGGGTGGGGAGGGAAAGATGTCTTTGGTGGTGGGGTCGGATTGCAGATGGCAGAAGTGTCTGCGCAGACCCGAAACATCAGCTTTCCTGCTCCTCTGATGCTGCTTGGCCTGCTGTGTTCATCCAGTTGTACACCTTGTTATCGCAGGAGATTTTTAGTCATGTTATAAGTTAAATAGGGAACTGCTTCTGTTGTTTAAGTTGCTTACGAAAAGAAATTGTGCTTAGTTAATAGTGTTTTGTTAGGAATTTTTCACAGCAAAAGTGGTAAACTATGAAATCCTGAGCTGTTACTCATTCAGCTATTAACTGGAAGTTTGAACTTCTCATTAGAAGTTATTGCTGTCAGAAGAGATTGTAACAAGAAGAAAGATAGAATTTTAACCCAGCCTGCCACACCAAGAATGCATAATATGGCTAGGTTGAGCACTCAGAAATCCATTCGACTGTTGAAAAAGCTCACCCCTGGGGAAAACATTGCTTAATTGGCAGTTCTGTCAAACGGACAGCATTTATTTATACAGGATTTGAAGTCATTGGGGTATTTGTTGTGGATACTTGAAAATGTCTAGAAGATTGACACTTATATTGATTTGTTGAAAAATGTATTATTTTTAAAAATACATTGTGAACCATCGTCTGCATGGACGTTAAGAAAGTTGAAAATAACTAACTGGTCACTACTTTTATTAAAGCAATTTTACATATCCAATTGGCACTACAGTGTTCATTGCTGCAGTACATTGTACAGTGGGTGTATGGGCTTTGGAGTGCCACATCTTTTATGAGGAGGCATAAGGAGCTATGGGCAGGGTGGATGGCAGTTATAGTGTGGCACTGGGGGCATGAGAAGGACCTTTTGAACTCACCCCTTCCTTTCCGAACATCAAAAAACATTTTTAAAAGGCTGCCGTAAAGATTATGTTGTTTTCCTTTTTGTGCTTTTTTTAAATTGTAGACTGAAATTAGAAAAGAACTGTTTTTTTAAACCAGGGATTGCAAAGATTGCTGCATGGGTTGAAAGCAAACAATTTACTTCATGTCGTCAACATTGTCTGCACAGCTGTTGGCTTTAGCTTGTGGTTGCAGATGAACTGGAGCCAAAGGGTTTTGTGCAAATGGAGCGCTTGTTGGCAATAAGTTGTGGATTGTTTGTGGACTAGTGACCAGTCATCAATGACAAAGGTCTTCCAGCTGTCAACAATTATGTTGAGTTGTCATCAGTTAACTGAAGTCAGCTTGAGGCTGTGAACAAGATACAGAGAAGCTGTTCAAAATAGCACCAGCCCAGGAGCTCACTCTCTGTTTCTTGTAGAAAAGCCAATGTAAGCCTGAAGAAAACCAGTTTATCTTTCTTTCAGCACTTGCTGTAAGTTGTGATGTTTAGTCAATAAGTCAGAGAACTTTAAAAGGTGAAACAGCCACCCAGTATCTCTTGTGAATCAGTGCAAGCATCTAAAAAAAGGTGGAGAATTAACTTTCTGATCAGTACAAGAACCAACTCACAAGATCCTGTGAATGAAGACTGAAGGTAAAGTCACCAAAGTCCAGAGGACCATCGGACTATTCTCTCATTAAAAAGAGATGACTAGTGGTGGTTTAGCATGAGGGTCACCACTCATCAGGCAAGGTCGATATAGTAAGGCCTTCATAGTAACTTCAGCCAGTACGGTCAGTACAATCAACAGAACCTGTTCTGTTAGCATCACTCGGCATCGCAAACAAGCCATCCAGCCAACTGAGCTAACTGACCAGTTGAACCAGCTTTTAGCAAGTTCAATTGACCCTGAGTCCCTTCCCACATCTGTGTAATGGAAGTTCGCAGGTAGGAGGGAAGGTGGTGCACTGGGCACCCAGCCCATTTTACATACCACAACCTCCACCCATCCCCACCAATAAAACACATACCATGGACATGTAATATCCACCCCATGGTTTTGTTAAGTATTTCATCAGAAGTAAAAGTGAGGGTACAGTTTCGCGAATTAATAGCTGCAGGATTGTTGTGAATAATAGAATACCAAAGAACAAAGGTTTGGGAGTTTAAAAGTGTAGTTATAAGTAAATTGAGTTTTTTAAAATTTGTTCATGGAAGGAGGGCATCACTGGCTAGGCCAGCATTTAATGCCAGCCCTAATTGCCCAGAGTCAACCACATTGCGGTGGGTCTGGAGTCACAAGTAGGCCAGACCAGGTAGGGATGGCAGTTTCCTTCCCTAAAGCACATTAGTGAACCAGATGTGTTTTTCCTGACAATCAGCAACAGATTTACAGTCATCATTAGATTAATTCCAGATTTGTATTGAATTCAAATTCCACTATCTGCCATAGCAGGCTTTGATTCCAGGTACGTAGAACATTATCCGGGTCTCTGGATTAACAGCTCAGGATAATACCACTAGGCCACTGCCGCCACAATATCTTACCATAATATATTTACCAGTCCAGCATCAGGTCAATAGTGACACTCCCAACATTATAAACACTGGAAGTGGTAAAGCCATAGAGAAATTTAAAATAAAGGATGAGAATTTTTACATCAAATTATTGTTTAACCAAGATCTGATGGACATTAGCAAGCACAAGAGGATACGGGATAAGGATGTTGTTGGTAGGGGTCAACTCAATCTTTTCTCAAAGTATGCATTTTACAAGACCAATGTTGTTGTTGATCAGCAGTTATGTAAACAAACATCTTTGCAACTCTAATACGAAAAGGAGAGGATCTTACCTAAATGAAAAACAATATGCCTGCCCTCTTCTGCTTTGAATGCTGATATTTATCCTGAAGAAACTGGTGATTCTCCAAACCAGTAGCAGGGAGAAAGTTCAAGACTTTTGTTACTCCAAAGCAGCAGAGTGGAACACTGTATCTACATGGTGCAGAAAATGCAGTGAGTAAATTTCCAAAAGCTATTTTCAATAGCAAATTCAATCCTAAGTATATTATTACGAAAATAAATGCCTGTTTCCCAAATAAAATACAGAGAGAAATTTAAGGAACAAATCATGTTTATACCGTTTGATGATCTAACTCCCTATTATAAAAATTGACAAAAATTACAGGAAGTATGTGTTGGTAACAGTCTTTAGTAATGTCCCCTGCGGTTCATTCTTTAAATCTTATCATGTGAGCAGTGAAAATATGATGGAATGTTCTCAACTCGTGAGGTACATTTAGTCATTAATCAGGAGACTAAAAGCTTAAGATTAGTTTGAAACCTGACAATATATGAAGATAGAGCAGGGATTTCATCGTGGATTTTATCAAAGACCCAGTTTAACAATCTAAATGACTACATTTGGTTAGCGACATTGTAGTACATATTTTTAAAATTATAGGTAACATGCTTCCCTGTCATAGTCTACAACCCCAAATAATAACTATTTTACTGTGAGATTATATCACACTGGGATTGAATTATCTCACATCAAGTTTCTCACCAATTGTTCACAATGTTTACTTTTTTCTAATTTACCATATTTTCTCAGTAATTGAACAAAGTCCACTTTTGAAGAAAATAAGAATATTGCAACATTTTTGAATCGTAAATGGAAATGTTTGCATTCAGAGAGCCCTATGTTCCTCATTCATGAGTCACAGAGAGTTAATATGTACGTAGGGCAAATAATTAGGAAGGTGAATGTTTTTTCCACAAAGGGCTTCTAGTATTAGAGTAGTGTTACTACAATTGGATACAACATCAGCGAAGCCGTGGAGTAATTACTCTGTGCAGTTTTGATTGCCTTGCAAGGTTTTAACTGCCCTAGAGAGGGTGCACAGCGTGTTCACTAGACTAATTCCTGGGTAGTGTCCTATACAGAGAGATTGATTAAATTAGGCCCTTTTTTCACAGACAGCAAACAAACACACTTATGGCAGAGGTAGAGGTCATATGACTGCAGCAAGCCAGCCAATGCACAAAATACAATGGCATTTTTTCAAACATCCCCCTTCTCATAAAAAGAGAAAATTGCATGCGCTGTCATGTTCAGTCACGTTACCCAAAATACAGGGTCAACAATGAAAATGATCATTCGTTAACAATACTGCATGATAATTCGAGACAGTTTCACTTCCATCAGTTGATGTACATAATTGCATACATAGTGTTTAAATCATGCAGCTGTCCTAATGGTTCTTTGTGTGTGTGTGTGTGTGTGTGTGTGTGTGTGTCTGGTATCAGCTCATTCCGAGGGTGATTAATTTGCATTGTCTGGAAACTGCCATTCCCGTAGAGAGTATTGTTGTCGTTATAACTTGTTTATGATCCATTTCTGTTGCTGGAGGACAGTGAACCTCTGGTTCTGGTCGTTCTGTACTCTGTGCTGGTGATGAAATCACAAACTCATGATCAGCTGGATGTCTGCAGTTGCAATGATACATCGTTCATGTTCACTACACACAGTCAAGGTGACAACTGCTCAACACAAGTTTTAACTTCCATATGGCCTGACTCATGTTGAAAATATCGAATGTTTGCATGTTGACTGATTCTCCAATGTTTAGCTGTGGCAATGGCTCAGCAGTTTCATCAAAGTAAACTGTGGCTTCATGTCTAAAAGCAAAATACTGCAGATGCTGGAAATCTGAAACAAACACAAAACAAATGCTGCAGAATCTCAGCGGGTCCGGCAGCTTCTGTGGAGACAGTAACAGAGTTAGTATTTTAGTCTGACATGACTCGAAGACCTGCTCGATTTCTTCAACTTTTTCTGTGTTTGTTTCTGTAGTTGCACCCTGATTTTGTCACACACGCCTGCTAATACTTCTGGCTTCAGCAGTCTTTTCACTTTCAGAAGTGTAGTTTGGGTGTGGCATGACATTAGTCTTTGGACTGGACTACTTCCCAAGCCTTTCAGGACACATTTCTCCAATCAAAGGCTGCCTTTTACAAGTCTGTGCTGGATTATCTCGAACATTTTATGATCCCGTCAGTCATTTTCACTGCTGCCTCAGCCTTTTTGTTAGACTAGTGATGGTGTAGAGATGATGTATAGTGTTGAATTTCCAAACCCTTTATGAAATACTTGAATTCTTCATTCATGAACTGTGGGCCATTGTTACTCATCACAATGTCTGGAATGTTGTCACAAGAGAAGTGTGCTTTCAGGCATTCTGCAATCTCACTGATAGTCTTTGACATCAGATGGTCTAACTCCAGGTAGTCGCAACATTACTGTTCTAAGACAAGGTAACCATGCCTGTGATGGTAAAGAGGTCTACTTCATCCATGATCTGACTGGGATGTCATGTGCCATGAGCAGCTCTTCAGCTTACTTAGTTGGTATCTGTTAAAAGCACTGTATTGGCTGATGTGGTCCTTAGTCTCATTGTCAGTATCACCTTCCTTAAACTAGACTTAACTCCTTGATGATGGGCATGCTTCAACGGCTCTTATCTTACTAGGGATCATGTCTTTATTTCTTTTACACTAAATGGCATCTTACACTATCACTTCATCTCCAAATTGTCACTACTTTCTGCAGAACTTGGAGAGTTGAATTTTGTTGTATAGTTTGCTTGATTTGCATAAGCTGCTTGTCTTTCTGAATAAATGTCCCTGATATATTGATATCTTCTTGAGGTTATTTACCTTTTAATTGTTGGATTGGAAGATGTCACGGTATCTTAACATCCTCAACTTCCATCATAGGGAAGGAATGCTCTCAACAGCATGTTGGGAATGTATGGTTGTTTCCTTTGCTTGTATTTCACACCCAGATGATATCTCTACAGCCATAGTAACAAGCTTGTAGATTTTTTGTTTTAACCATATAGAAGCAGTTTGAGGAGCATGCTTTGAAGTAGCTTGCGGTGAGACTTCACGTTGACTTTGCCTCTCTTTAAACAAGCTCTGTTTCACAATAAAGGACAGTAGTCAGGCCCTTTTCTCAATAAAAGCGTACCACCAATCAGTTTGCATTGGATGTGATGGCACTTGCTGCACAAGGCTTCCTCCAAGCCCTGCCTCACCGACATTTTACTGCAAGGTGACTTCATCATTGAATTCGTTGTACCTCAACACTGGCATTGTCATCAGCAATTGTTTGACCTGGGGAAAAGTTGCTTCTTGTACCACCGCACACTTAGCAGTGAGCTTGCAGAGTTTACACCTAGATGACAAACTAAGTTAGAACTTTTCTAAATAAATCACATATCCAACAAATCATTGCCCTGCTTTCACATCTGTCATAACTGCTGTAGTTTTCACCTTGTCAGGATACAAATGAGGTCTTTTTGCTATCAGTATATAACCTTTGAACTTGACTTCAGAATTCTTCAATTGCACAATTTTCTTCCTCATCTTGAGGTTTGTCTATTATCTCTCTCTAGCGGGTGCACTCAATTCTGAGTGAGGTCTCGATGGTTTCTTTCAGTGTGTCCCTGTATCAATCGACGGGCAGATCATCCACAATAGTTTCACTTTCAAGTTGTTTGCATTGATACTCTTCTGGAATCATAGAAATGGGCATGTCCTACAATCTGTAACTTCTAAATGTCATCCAGAATGTAGTTTAAAAAAACTGCTGCTTTCATTCACTTTCATTGCCAGTGACCATCAACAAATCAATAACAGAAAAACATCTTTACTTTGGCCAGTTTTGGCAAAATTTCTTTATTGATTGGCGTGAAGTAGTATCTCTTCAAAGCTTCATTAAAATCTTTTCATTTGTGTGTCTAAGAAAGTTTGAAGAACAGTCATACCAGACTTGAAACATCAACTGTTTCTCTTTCCATTTATGCTGCCAGACCTGCTGAGTTCCTCCAGTGTTTCCAGTGTTTGTTTCTCTTAGTGTTCCAGTTTTATTTCGCCACTAACATGATTTAATCTAGTCTGAAGGATTTGTCAGTTTCTTGGCTATTCCCTTCTTTTCCAGCTTTTCCATCTTGTCTTTCTGGCTGGATTTGAGGTAGCTGGATCCCTCCTTAGCTGCATTGGTCTCACGTTCTCATCCAACTCAAGATAATATTCACCAGAAAGACATTCCAGACCTGCAAACGCTCTTTATAAAAGAAAAAGAACTCTTTCTAGGATACACTTTTAAAAACAAGCTACCAGAAATTATTCTAAGTGTACTATGCAATGAGAAAGGAATAACTGGTAATGTAGTTGTGAGAGACCTCTTGGGAATGAGGGGCCATTATATAATAGACTTCTCATTAAGATGGTAGTTGATTCGGAGACTAGGTTCCTGAATCTTAATAAAGGCAACTACAATAGTAAGAGGCATCTGTTGGCTATGTCAGATTGGGAAGTGTTACTGGCGGGAATGACAGTGCATCGGCAGTTGTAAGTAGTCAAAGAGTGAATGGACGAACTACAATTGTTTATTTCCATCTCGCACAAGAGTCCAAAGAGAACAGTGCAAAACCATGGCTTACAAGGGAAATTAGAGATTGTATTAGATGCAAAACAAGAGGCATACAATTTGGCAAGAAAAAGCAATAGACCTGAGGATTGAGAACAGTTTAGAAGTCAGCAAAGGATGACCAAGGGATTGATTAAGAAGGAAAAAAAAGGATGAGATTAAGTTTGTGGAGAACATAGGAACTGACTGTAAGAACTTCTATGGGTATGTGGAGAGAAAAAGATTGATGAAAACTAATGTAAATCCTTTACAGTAAGAAAAAGGGGAATTTATAATGGGAAACAAAGAAATGGCTGATGAACCAAATTCATACTTTGCTTCTGTCTTCACAAAGGAGGACATGAATAAGGTACCAGAAATAACGGGGAATATAGGGTTTGGTGAGAGGAATGAACTGAATAAGTTTGCATTAGTAGAGAAAAGGTACTGGAGATATTGATGGGACTGAAGCCTGATAAATCCCCAGGGCCTGATAATCTACATCACAGATTATGTAAGG